AATAATAATCTTGTTAGACATCATGTCCTAACATAGATGCATAACGAGCATATTACAGAATTGATGCTCATGATTATGGAAATGGCAAAGAATAGAACGTTGAGTCGTTATCCTAATCGCATGTCTCGTCCGATATTGACTAATCGTAATCCACATTAGAATAAACGGAAGCATCGGGATATTGTGAAACGGCGCAAATATGCAGTTGCAGAAATTGTAATGGCGAGCAAGTTGCAGAAGCAAAAGAAAAGTACATGTAAAAGAGAGAAAATGCAGAAAATGAAGCCGCGTTAGGGGGAATAGATAATAAGAAGAAAAGCAAATGTAATAAACCTACAAAGAATATGAAGAGAAAAAACTAAAACAGCAGAGAATAAATGAATGTAACGTCTAAAAAAGTTCATATCATATATAATCATATCTGTCAGAAAAATAATATGAAGACGAGAAGAGAAAGAGAGAGATCAGTAAGATAAAAAGTTACGTTAAATTAATGAAAGACGAGGAGTAAACAAGAAACACATGTGTCATAAAGTGTGAAGAAGATAAAGAACTAAAAGAGTACGAGGCAAAAAAAAAGAGGAGGAACAAAGCTAACAAAGCGCACTGTTAAAAAAACAAACAATATGCGAGAAAGAATAAAGGCGAATACAATATGAAAAAAATGAAGAGGTAAAGACGAGAGGAAGAGTAAACTGGCGAGCGAGAGAGAAGTGTGCTCGAAGGGAAAACGAGCAGACAATCGACAGATGCCATGAAGAATTTCTGCGGCAATACTTTATAATATAGTCGTTCCGTTCGTCTAACGGGTGGCCTCATGCATGATAATCGCATGCGTTTTACAATGTGAGATAACCTGGAGATGTAAGAATCAAGAGAGAGAGAGAGAGAGAGAAAGATTCTAGTGTTTAGTTTATAAAAGTATAATAAAAGAAAATTGAGTCACTATAATAAATCATGTCACTAATATCATGTCACTGTCACCATCATGATTACTTTACACCTGATTATATCTTGTCACTAGTTGAGCGATTATTCGAGTAAAACTGAAATTATTCGCGAGTAAGCTTATTAATATATAATGTTCATGTATAAAGTTACTTCTTAACTTCTAATGGAATATTCAATGTTTAGATAAGGAAAGTATATTCAATTTCCTATAGACAATCTTGTATATTGAAATTAATCAAATGTTAAATTTGTATTGCATATTCATATACATATATATATTTTTTTACAAAAATATTTTGAGCTTTTAGTTTGAATATAATAATTATCATATATTTTTAAAAAATCTTTAATCAGCATTTCATATATTATAATCACAACCTAACATTTATCATCATAAAAAAATTATCAAATTATTGAGGTTTAAAATTAATTTTGCAAATTGAAGGAAAAAAGTATCTTACATTATCCGTAAATAAGCATAAAAATTGTGAGAAAAAAAATTAATAAAAATGAGAAATAAGCCTGTTTCAATGTCTCTCCTATTCCTAAGCTTTCTATTTCAACATCGAAACTATAGCTTTCTTGATTCGATATACTAGAAGATTCGATCGTGGAGCGCACAAGCAAGTTCAAGGGCCGCGAACGAGATCTTACCGCGAAAAACGCTTTCTCCTATACAGTACCTATGCTCATGTACCGGGTGTCTGCGGAATTTCAATTTCAATTTCCGATACAATTCAAGGAATTATCGTATATAAAATCAGGGCTGCTTCATTTCAATTTCAAATTTAGCTCTACTCCTGTCTTCAATCTTTCAACATATAAACTGAGAGAGAACTGGCGCATAATACGATAATAGAATTTATGGTAATAATTCTCCTCGTGTATCGCATTCCAGAAATTATTCTCGCGATGCATTAACGGTATATGAATCGCCCGCAAAAATTAACGTTTCGATGAGCGAAGCGTCGGAAAATGCCGTTAACGATATAAATCAGAATGTATAACGCGAATCGCGCGAACCAATGTTAGCAGTTCGGTGTTAATAATGCCGAATAATAACGACACGGGCAAGATCGAGCATCCTTGATAACTCAGCCGAGCTCAAACACATCCGAGCGCATACACATGTGTAACGGATATTAATTACTTTTTATGTAATTCCGCTCACGGTACTCCAATATTGCAGTTACAGCGGTAATAACGCTGGCAACCGATTTAGCGCGTGTAATGCAAAACGCTAATTGCTCCGTTCATTGTGCTCCTCCCTCGTCATTACTTTCTCCGACATGATTATCACCGCCTGATTAACAGTCGCATGATGATTCGAACCTCGCACCTTTTAGCACCGCGTCCTTATATATTAACGTATTTAAATCGAAAGAATATTCTATGGATCTGATAATCGCACTTTCTACGCTTTCCCAACCGGGAACAAATTTCGCCCACGCTAATAGTCGTCAATTTATGCAATCTTTCCTCGAGAATCGAAAAGAGCCAGGTAAGAGACTGTCAAAGATTTTACATGGGAATTTTACATGCGTTTCTTGCGGATACGAAGAAAAGTGAAACCGAGGAGAGGATATAAAGATCAATAAGTACCCCAGTGTACACTAAACTTTACTCATCGCTCGGTTGATCACCGGAGAGAAAGTGGCCGCGCGATGATGGATGTGATTTTCGTGGCGCAAAAATAGCGCATCCGATGACTCGCGTAGACGGATATTTATGGTTGCCGTCGTCCGGAGATTATCCAAGCGACTGATGCGGAAATAACGATCAGTCGGATACGAAAGTTCGTGTTTTACGCCAACGGACCATTACGTCTCGAAGACGCGAGTGCGTCTCTACTCGAGCTGGACCTCCTGGAAACCTGCAAACGGCTACACAATTCCCCGCTCGTTTTCGTTGCGCTATCGCTAAACGAGACTTCGCACTTAAAACGCGCGAGTAATCTCGTAAAAATTCGAGACGAACCTGTGTGTGTTTATCTCACAATTAGTATACGATATGTGATATCGCGTTATATAACGTATATTAAAAATATTTTTAAAATAAAAGAAATTTAGGCAGACGAGAGAAAAGTATTATAAAAAAAGAATTGTTAAATTTGAATATTCAAGTATACAATCCCGAAATTGATTAAATGCTTTATTTCATTTTTTTTTTATTCGGATGTAGTAACTAATTGTAAATTTATAAATATAATAATATAATACTTGATTTTTTAAGGATATTTTGTACCTATTTTCAAAATATTGAGAATTTAATGAAAATTGTACAGAATGTTCTTACATATGTTTAGCATCTTCAGTACAATTTTTAATCGATTCACTAAAGCGTTCACAAGTTATAAGGATTTTAATTTGCGCCGAATTAACATGTGTTCTTATGGGAAACGTATAACCATGTCGATTCAAATGACAAAAACACATGGAAATAATATTCAGAATTTGTTTAAAATTTGCAAAAGTTTAGATACAGAGGAAATATTTGGTCAAATAATATTATACAAGTACTAATTGGTTAAAAAGATATTAAATATAATTTAATGAAGTTAGCCATGTATCTGTCACAAGGCGAAATTCTCTACCAAAAGTTAATCATTTTAATTAACAAAATTCGGAATATTTCAGTAAAAACGCAATAAATATTAAAAAATACATCTCTGCACTGTAGCTAAGATCAAATTGTAACACATTCCACACAATTTATCATATTAAAAAAAAAATACACCAAAAGTGGATATTCATCAATCTTGATTTTCAGCTACTTTTTGCAGGGATTGTACATACAAAACATCCTTAATTTGAGACATATGTTAGTAATATATAACATACAAAAAATTTTGAACAATATAAAATATTTAACACAAGAAAATTGTGGAGGAAATTAATTTGGTATTTGATCAAAAATTACTGGTAGAATAAACGAATTAAATTGTAAAGACACAAACAAATTAATGAATTAAATTGTAAAGACAAATAAATTAATTCAATCGAAATTAAAAGGCACAAAATTAATAGTTCAAAAGAGATTTGTAAATATACAATGATTTGATCAGTTTCATATGTCATTATACACCTTAATGAAGCTTCGATAAGTTGCATAGATACCTGCGTTTCACAATCGCTTGCCTTTGAAATGATCAAAGTGGAGAAACTGAACATATATCTCCAATAAGAGGTACATATGTGTCGGATTCTCGCAAACGTGCGAGATCTGTGTTTGCCGATCTGCAGGATGATTTTCTCACGAATCGGAAATGTCGAATCGCGAGACAACAAATCTTCCTTGCGCTCGCGTTTTACGCTCGACACGTTAAATCCACCGGTTATTTCGTTTCCTTCTTTCGCGAGAAAGATCTCTCTCTTCGGAAACGCGATCACCGTTCACCATTCACCGAAAGAACGGACGCGTATCACATCGGTCTTGCGTGTCACCTCTGTATTTCTTCCGTTCGATATTTCATTCTCCTTTATATCGTCGTCCTTTTGGCTCGTTGAGCGTGACGGAAAGAGTATACCTCGAGATACACAGCCACAAAGACCGGGGTGACAGAAGAGAGAGACGAAGAGAAAAAAATAGAGAGAGAGAGAGAAACGACGGAGACGTTTGTTCCACGGCGAGCCTAATCGGCGGGATACCGTTTTAACGAACCTCCGAGCGCTTAATAAGCGCGCTCGTGCAAGTAATCGACAATGACCTGCCAGTCGATGTACGCGACGTTATCGCTATTCGGCAGATAATAAAAGCGTGCGTCTTTGGATGAGCGGCTGTTTGCGCTGCTGCTTTATTCTGCATCCGCGACACGCCGTACATTAAGTTAAGCACTAATGGTTCCTTAATTGCCTCAGCTCCAACACATTTCAAGAGGAAAAAGAATGGGAGACTCGTCCCTTATTCTTGATATATCGCGCTGAAATCGTGCGATAATCGAGCAAAGTCGAGTCTCGAATCAAAGTGCGTAAAAATGACGAGGCTCCTTTATATTTGCACAGGCATTTCGCGAAGCTTATTGACGCAATTGGTTATCGCATTCGACTCACCTGACTAATCCGCAAACACACTGTATATTCCACGGATGGTCGCTCCGGAAATTCTTCAGGAAACCGATGGATTACACTGTCTCGCACTTTCCTCGGCGGATCCGGACACGCGTCGCGATCGACGGAATCTCGCGCTGGAAACTGATTAGCGAGAGCTCGATAAATTCTCGACAAGGCGACAACACGACAGCCTCGTTATCGAATGCGTTATCGTAAACGACGAAGATAGCACGACGCATCCGAGTGTACCCGAAGCCTTGTTGTCGCGGTAAATGGTGCGGAAATCCAGGTTGTACGTGCGTCGACCTGAAGCCGATGAGCATAAGCGTGGATCCTCGTCCCTGACCTGCTCAACTAGCGGCTTCGATGAATCACGTCGGATGCTGATCCCTCGACAATCCACGAAAATTCACACGCGGGGAAGTCGAGAGATCTTCTCTCTCTCTCTTTCTTTATGTTCACTTTGACGAGCGCGAAGAGATGCTTGTTTCGTTGAAACGATTATAATGCATTAAGATGCAACTGTTTGCGCAGAATCTTGAAAATAAAAGTGATAAATTTGTATGCCTTTTTCGTCGATTTTTTTCAAAATTAACTGAAGCTGTCAATGACAGATGATTGAAGATTGGATAAACGTTAAATCCGTTTCACATCTTACATGAAAAAATAGCACTTGATATCAGTATCGAACTATTTCGCTCGGATCGATTGATTGACGAAAATTGAAGCGAATCAATAGCATACAGTCTACTTGGTTTAGAAATTTTCAGTGAGATTCAACGATACACTCACAAAAACTTTAGTAAGTTTCTCTATAAAACATATCACATCTACTGTATGACGAAGAATAAGCGCATCGACCGTCTAATCGAGCGTCTATACAAATGAAGGAAGTTCGCGCGAAGAATCGGAAATTATCTCTTCCGTTTCCCTTCGACGGTCCTCGACGAGCATGAGAAGAGATTCTCTCGAGAGATTTTGTTTCGATAGAACGAAAATGTCTTTCCTCGAGATAATCTTCAAAATTATCAACGATAGAAAAATATTAAAAATGCAAAAGTCTATGAGAATAAATTACTTTTCTCCGTCAAATCACGCGTAGAACTCAAGATGAGATTAGATTCAAAATAACTGAATGATCCTCTGTGCGATTCAATTGTACATTTATTCTGTCGAGTCTCTTTGGTTTTGGAGCTCTTCAATAATAGAAGATCGTCTTCAATAACGAAGAAAATGATCCCTGGATAGAGTCGGAAATCTTCAATGACGGAAGATTATCGAGAACGATGCAATAAGTGCCAGGTATCGGGCTGGTCGAATAAGAACTACTTCGTCGAATCATTCACGGAGATTAAGTCGAAATTACATTCTCTATCGAAAGTACTGCTGCTGGGATCTCCGATGAGATTCAATTATGGTGCATTTGCGAGCATTTAATAATCTCCGATGTAATGTGCATTCCTATGCGAAGAAGGATAAGTGCGATGTAATGAGAGGCATACACGTAAGGGCTCGCACCTTTCGTAGGATCTCGCTAATCCCAAATACGATTCCTACACTTTACATCGACTTTCGTTCTCGATATCCAAAAGCACAACTGATGGAACGTGTCTGTTGCGAATTTCAGAGAATGAATAAACTTTTTACATCTACCAACAATACACCCGAATTAATAACGTGGCACCCACACTGTGTAATTCGCACTTTAATTTACGGATAATATCATCGACTGTCGCGAAATCGATTCGCATTCGAAGATCACCCGCGGTGGGACACCCAACGATCCGATTGTCGGGCCAAGATCCTTCGCGCATGATCGGCAACGCGCATGTTCGCGGGACGGAGATGAGCGGGCAAACGGAAATCGCAACGAAACAACCCCGGAAATCGCAACGAAACAAGCCCGGAAACCGAACGCCTGTCGAACTCTCGGAGCCGAGGTCTCGGACGAAGGGAAATAGCGGGCGTTCTCCAACAACTAGGCGCGCGAGAAACCGAGCGCACACACGGCGCAGGTAAGAGCGGTTTTCGAACAACTACGTGCCGGTCGGAAGGCGGCGTTTCTTTCTCCCCTGCATCGTGCATCGGTTCGCCGCAGAGAGAGGGAAATGGCGAAACCCATGGAGTGGTGGAGTCCAAGTGCTGCTGCGAAATACGGCGAGGGGGAGGAGGGGGGGGAGAAGGGATACGAGCGAGGGATCTACGATATCCCCCGTGGATCGAGATCGTCGATGGCCGATCGGAAAAAGCTCGGCAAGAACAACCCTCGGATGATTTTATCCTTTTACTTTCCTTCTACATTCCTTGCAGAATCCCACAATCTTATTTTTATGAGAAATGTTCTGTAAAATTTAATTTACATCGATTCACATCTTAAAAAGTTTAATAAACTGTCGATTAATCTTTACTATCACAAATGATTAATTTATAATTTATAAATTATTCATAAGTGAAAGAAAACTAACGGACACTGATGACACTTAAAATTTGTGAAATAATATACCAATTATAAAAAAAATATAGCTGAAAAGATATTTACCAGACTGACGGTAAAATGTTCAAAGTACTTTTATTTGGAATAATAAAGTAATATCGGAGTTATATTTTGGAAGGAAAAGGGAAGAACGTTGCGGGCAGAGCGTGTACTCAAGTCGCAATTTTACGCGTAAGTGAATCGACTAACCCCTGACTGTCAGTTGGTTCCTGTCTAAAGCAACAGGTGCTCAACCGTCAACCGCTGCCATGTGGCCGTTGCACGAATGGAAGGAAGTCCTCCTCGTTGTATCGAGACACATTTTTTTTTTATAAATACACGAGCGGTAACGAGAAATTTAAAATTTTCTCCAGAGTAAATAAAGCATTCCATTTACGCATCCTTGCATTTAAAATAATGACAAATAAATTCCTCACGGATTCTTTACCAATCCTTTAATTGTTCATATATTGTGTTTGCTGGGAGGGATTTACAGGTGTACATTAAATGAGACTAAAACACGTATGCGCGCGACTCTTGGCGGGTACAGCTGACACGAGCCCCGCGTAAGTCTACAAATGGTAATCTTAAATATGCGTGTATTCGAAATATGTATTTTTACTTATATTTAATAATCGGTAGACTCTCCGCATCTACACATACGGTAGACAGATTATACAAAACATCGTATCGTACAAAATAGTAGCGGTAGTATCACCTATCAACTTTGTTCCAACGAATGATCCGCTACGCACGGTACCGATTATAATTAACATTCGTCCAGTTGTTCTTTTTAAAAACGCGATAATTCCAAGGACAAACGTATTAACGAGGTAAATTAATGAGCTTCTCGTGGTCCTTTCGAAAAGTGCTCGACTTTTCAAAATAAATATATTATATTGACATAATTAATCTAGAAATTGTATCTATATTGTTGTCGTTAAAATACCATACGTAGCGGTGTACTAATGGAAATAAAACTCGAAACTTGAACATATGCTCGAAATTCTATGTACGTTTATACAAAATAGTGATACAGGGCGTAAAGTGACACAATCGCATCTATCAAAAGATATCAGGGATAAAGCAACCGATATATAAAAAGGGATACTTTAAGTTTAAAACCTTTTGCAAAAATTCCAGAAAAACAGAGTACATCTGAAGAATGTCGAAGAAAAAATTATTATTGTCTCTAGAGACATTTCGACGATATCCTTTAGATATGTGTTGTTTTTCCGTATTATATATATATATATATATCGATAAAGGTTTTTTTTAAATACATATGTTCTCCACATTGGTTCTTCTGCCTTTTCAAAACGTGCGACAGAGTCATTTCACGCAAAGTAGCCTGTACATATATCTTGAAGAATTTTGTTAAGGTGTTGGTCTTTGTACTGTTGTAAAGCGTTAATAAATAAGCGCGGGGATGGATCTCGATGCGGGATAGGATCAATAAACGAACGAACGAAACTGAAAAGACGGGAGACATTTTTTTTGTACTATGATTCAAGTTTTATTAAACAAATTAAATACAAAAGATTTTCTGTTGTTTGCTATCCGCGTTTTATATATATATATAGCCGAATATCTCGGGGTTATAAATAATTAAAATAACAGAACAAGGCGTGGTATAAATAAAAAAAAGAAAGAGACGTTGAGCGAGAAAGGTGTGACCCGTCTTAACTTTCGTTTCCCGAAATATCGAAACATTCTCGCTTGCTTGTATTGTACTGTTACGAACAAGATTTCTCTAAAAGAAAAAAAAGAGCAAAAATCAACTAACGTATCCAGGCTTCCTCAATTCGCTTGATTGGTATCGCTAACTAAAGTTACACGGATTTGCCAAAATACTTAAAGTTTGAATTTTTATCGAGAATTCTGCAGTACACCCAAAACACTTGTACAATTCGTATATATTTTATTTTATATTATATATGAAAGTTTTGTTGTTTTATATTAAAGGTTCTTATATATTTTAAAATTGTTAGATATGTGCCAATAATTATATAACAAATAAAAAAGGAAAGAGAGCACACATATCTACAAAATCCTCGATAAAAATTCACCGATATTCTTTCCAAAAGTAAATAAATAAATGCATGTGGAATGCACATAGAGCCTGGTATGTCTAAAATGCAAAAAAACGACAAAAGAAAAAAACGAAGATAAAAGTAGATTTGTCGTGTCAAAACTGAAGAAAGAAGATGATTTAGTTTTGATACTGTTGATACTTTGAAGAACCTTAGTTACCGGTAAATACGCTTAAAAGTTTTTTCGAGAACGTTGGATATTAATGTTTAAAAGTCGTTAGGATATGTACAAAGAGATATAATATTTGAATATGAAGTAAATATATTGAATTTTCCCATTGTCCCGAAAGACCGAGCTGGACCACATTCCCTCCCGATCCTTCGGGATCATTGGATCTTAACGTCGAAGAGTCACACAGTTTTCGTGGATGTCGAGATTGGTCTTTGAATAAAAAAAAAGAAGAAAACAATTAAAAAAGGAAAAAAATAAGCAATAACAATATTTAATGGCAGGCCATTAAATGAGGATTCCTTTTCTTTCTTCTTTTTTTCTTAAACGGTCAAAAGTGGAAAATGTGTCGAGGGTCTACGAAACACGGCAAGACAAAGTTTGGAATGTAATTAATGATAGAGATCCGAGTATCCAGAAAAGTACTGTGTTGACTCTCGATACTCTCTCGTTCTCTCACTTTCTTACATGCATGCACGCACGCACGCACACACGCATACACACACACACACTCGCATTCTTTCACATTCTCTCCTTTTCTCGCGCACTCTTTCGTTTTCCGCATACTTGACAATCGCAAAAACGGTGCCTGGGTAATTAGGCCCTCTTTGCTAACGCGTCGATACACATCGTGCACGCGAATTACAGTTCCTTTATAATACTTGTAAAAGGACTCGAGTCTCATGCAAATGGACAAGAGCATATATTTGCGTGGGTACGTGAATGTGTGTCGTGTATACACACACGTATTTTTATGTGTAATATACATGAATAAACTTACGATAATAATGTCAATCGCTTCTTCTGTACCGACATATAAAGTAGCGAAAAATTTTATTTGCTTTTCTTCCTTCTCGCCCTTGCCCTCGAATTCTATAATGTACGATCTAAAAAGGTTCCTTTCACACACATTGCGCAAGAATAAAACTAACAGTTACGGATATTGATAAAATAACGAAGGATGAATCCGATGATAATATTGGATAAACTAAAGATGAAATTGAAAAAACAATAACTTACTTGCGAGTTAAAATTCGTTATGTGTGTTCGTAAAAATAGTTGGAGTATAATAGTTGGAGTTTTTCGTAACTTATAAATGCGAGAATACGCTTAAAAGGTTCACACTATTGTGAAAAACTATTATCTCGATCGTAATTTTGGAGAAATTCTTTTTTGTACTTGATTATGTCATTATTAAAATTCAACAAAAGTTCAATAAAATTATCAATTTCTCTTGTAAAAATTTAACTTATCTGAACCAGATTGACGATAGAAATCCCTTAAAAGCAAGGCGCTTAAAATAGAAAAGATCATTTCGTACGATTAGAAATGTTTCCCTTTTATTATCTCGATTAAAAAAAAAAAGAAACGAATCTTTTTAATTCTTAAACCTGTAAAATGTCGGTGGAGCGCGATCGTATTGGACACGAAGAGAGTCAACCGCGTGATCCTAAACATTTCACATTGAATCTTTGTCTTATCCTTCGTGCATCCCTGCTTCCCCTCGCTAAATATTATATAACACTATGCTATTTACACCAACTTACATTACTACGGTACACTAAAGATTAACCTACCAAGTATATATATATTACAGGACACGTCGTCATATTCAGACTTTCTCTGGCGACACGCGCAGTATATATATAACATCTTTGGACTCGGTTTTATTACACATTTATATAGAATATTATGATCGCTTTCTGGTCTAATCCGCTTCTCGTCATCTCATGAGAGCTCGCAAACATGTAACAACTCGACAAGTGTTCCCCTTCAGTCTAATAAAAGAAAAGTACTCTTCTATATCTCGTCTCCTGCTTATCGATATTCGCTAGCTATCTGATACTTTCCACAATACATTGTATAAATATTTTAACGCTTGAGATTCTCTCGACGGTTCCGTCAAGTTTGTCACGGGGATCCTTGGAAGACAAGCGTTTTGCTTAAATAAGAGTAAACGCCTTCATCTTGCGGTAAAACATAGATGTTGCACGCGAAAAATTTCCCACGCGACTCGAGAATTAGCGTCGATTATTATATTAATGACCGAATACACCATCGAATAGGATATATTGGCTATCGAAACGAAACCATATTTATAGGAAGAAACTTTTTCGCCTGTCGTTCCTTTTCTCGTATTCTCTTTTCGCATGTGGTATATCTGAAAACGATTTTTGATCGCGTAAAAAAATATAATACGACACGAATATAAATAAAACGGTAACCGAAACTCGGCGAGATTCGTGGACCACTTAAACCGCCGACACTTGGGCGTCTTCGTCATCTGTAACATTTCGAAATGTGTTTTAGTATGTGACACGTCGCAAGTGTCAGGTATGATGATCGGAATACGAGGGACTCTAATTTGGGTAGATATGATTTAATCGCGTGCAATTTTGCTCGATTTAATAAAATATCGATTCAAATTGGAGCAAAAATGTGATGAAAATATCTCAAGCAAAAATTAACGGAAAGATTTCTGCTAGAAATTAAAAACTGTTGCAAGATATCCCATGCTGGATAGCAAAGCAATAATACAGATTTTTATATTTATACTTTTCTATACTTTTTAGAAATTTTAGAGTCTCTCGCTAATGCAATGTCTATAAACAAAACATTCGTTGTTTCTTTCTCTGACTCTAGATCTCTAATTATTTTGAAACAAGCTAATTTAAGGGAAATCAAACAATTAATGCAGATAATGCAAACAAAAATGGATAAAGGATAACACGTGCGATATGGATGCAAGTAGCGAATGCTCATGCTTTGACATTATGCAAAAGATAAACAAATCGCATATAATTTATTATAACATTTCAATGCAAAACAAATTCAATGATAATAGGCAAGCTAGTGTATTTTGCAATGATCACTAGTGTAAATATTGATTTAATGCGGGTAATTATTATAATGATTATGCATTATGATATTACATGACCATTGTTGAAAGAGTGCACTACATAATCACATTAAGTAAACACAAGCTTTCAACGTGTACAAGCACGTTTTCGTTCACATTTACACGTAAATATAATATTTATTTACAATGCACGATTATATGATACCGGATTATTAATAATACTATCACAGTATTTATGATTATGTTTGAAATTTTACTTTACTCATATCATCATATATCCTTTCTATAAGTAGGAAAAACTGTTTCGAGAAAAGAATAGTTTGCAATATATATCTAAACTAAATACTTATATACCGAAAAAAATTGCAATCTTGAAAATCTTGCTATATCCATCTAAATGATGTACACAAGAAAAAAATGCATAACAAGATCAAGAGCAATTTTTAGTTTATAGCACACGCATGATGGGAAAAAAAACATTAAAAAAGAAAAACATCGCAAAAAGCGTTGCAAATGAGAACTGTCGTAAAAAACTACAGTTAAAAAGTTATTCCGATATAATACGAGCTGACGGATTACTTTCGCCAATACAAATCAGCATTCCTCGCCGTGTGTAAATATTAACAATGGCAGATAAGAATATAAGAAGCCTTAACACGAGCGTTAAACCGACTAGATAGATGTATATAACTATAAATGTGAGAGTGAATTTTGTATGTGTGTGTGAACGGTAGAGCGATTTGGTTAGATGTAGTAGTACCATCTTCGTGATCGGTGGCCCGATAAGTGACCCCCTCGTGGCTGTTAGCACGACCGAGTCTGTGCAACCTCGCCATCTGTTGCGCGACTTTGTACGCCGGTGGTTGACGGCACTGCGGCGCGCTACTCATGCCAGGTCGCATCGTTGTGATCGACGACATGTTGGCCGACGATATGGTGCCCATAGTCGTCATTATGGTCGTGGTCCCCGCTCCTGGCGGTGGCAGCGGGGCTGGCATCCCTAGGCCCATGCTTAATCCCGTAGTACCTGAAAACCCTCGACTCTCTCGATCTCTCTTTCTTTCTCTCCATCTCACCCCCTTTCGCGCGCCGCCGCCTTCTCCCACCTCTTCAATATTTCTTCATCTCTCAGCGACAAAGCGATTCGCTACCGCTACTTCCTCGAACACTGCACTTGTAAACGAGCGCTTACGAGAATGCAAAGAGCATCGAGTTTGTGCCTGTTACATAGAATTCTAATTAACAGAATAGCCACTATGAATTTGAGTATCTTCGAGTATTATAGTATTAAAACATTTGCATTTTTTTGTCAAGAATTAATTACGTTCAAAAGATAGGGAATAAAGAAAATTAAAAATTTCACATTCAATACTTGTTTCGTTCTCCATATATTTTTAGGTGATATTTCTTTCAAGGTATCATAATGTAACGTCATCGTTATCTCCTCCTATTGATCCATTCAATATGTTCGAAATAAATTTTTTTACTTTTTATGAATAAAGAAAGCCACGGCACTCATTAGAAAAGATAATTTGCGCTCGCTTACAACCGAGGTCCGCGAGAGGCGAACGTATTTAAAGGAAACCGCAAAACACATTCGCCGCTACACAACCTGCCCAAGAGAGAGAGGAAAAAAGCACATATATATACCGTTTCGCGTCTAGTTAGTATCCTGGAAAGAACGCGCTCAGTTATATCTTTGCTAATGCTATAGGACACGCAAATACGCAAATGGAGCAAACTCGATGCAGCGGGTTGCACTTCTAGGCCACGCTAGAAGCGAACCATAATACTGTGTCACCAGCGTGCATACCAACAGACTTGTACAATTAATGATTAGAACGTCACGCACAGAGAGACTAAATACATCCTCGTGAAAGGCAATTTCCATCAAGTTCGGACAAAGCTCAAGCCTGTGTAAAGATGCTGGAGATTGGCAAAGTTGTAACATCTACTACACTCGCAATACTTCGGTATACCGTTTCGCATGCATGAGCCACACTATTCCGTTGAACCTTAATGTATTCCGTTTCAGAGAGAGAGAGAGAGACAGCAGGATTAACGCAATGATTCAATGCAAGCCAGACAGACGAAACAGGCAGACAGAGACGCGAACTCACCTTGAGGAGTTGGAGGTTGATGATGATGATGATGATGAAGATGATCGTGATAATGTTGTTGTTGTTGATGATGGTGATGGTGGTGGTGGTGATGATGATTGTGATTGTGATTCTGATTGGCAGGAAGCGGAGGTAACACCGCTACCGCATGAGGAAACGGAGGCGCTCCGCCTCTTATAACAGACCCTGCACCACACAGAGAGGCCACATACGACAATTTTTTTTTTTTTTACAAAGTCTACAGACTTGCGTTGTTTATCGTAAACCCTCGAGAGAGGACGATCCGAGTGAGAATTCGACGCGATTTTTGCGATCGATGCAAATATTTTTCGAAGCTGGCGCACAATTAAGCGAATAACTAGCCGACACTGCAAGCTGTAAAGCGAATTTTATACAAGCGTAGGCTAGAACGGTTTAATAAAGCGTTGCTGAAAGCAGAATTGTTATGCTCTATATATATATATATATATATATATATATATTTATAGGCAGTGCTCGACGATGCGAATATCAACGCGAAAACACACGTAACAATGTATAATAATATTTAATTCTTTAGATGTTAACAAGACGTTTACGAGTAACATTTAAGAGCAATTTGATTAACGCTTGAAGACAAATGGCCATGGGACATACGTTCTTTAGCGGTAAAATTTAGCCAGCGACTCCCAAAAAAGAAGCGAATAATAATTAATTAAAAATTATAAAATAATATTGTATAAGAACAAAAAAATATTTGATAATATTTATTATTCAACAGCAATAAATAATTAAAATTAAATATATTTATATCAAAAATATTCAGAAATTTAAATCGTGAGTCTGGATATTCAAGGATAAATATTAAAACTATGATATAATTTTCCTCGAATGCAATTTTTCTGACGTTACAATCTTTCAAATGCCGGAAATCGTTATCGTAATCAAAATCTAGATTTCCAAATTATCGCGACTGTTAGTTAATATTATCAACAGTATCGGACACATCAACAATTATATAACACGTAATCCCCTGATAACATAAAAAAAGAAAACACGACAGATAATGCAAAAAGAAACAACAGCTGATGTAAAACAATAAAACAAACATCGGATGGGTGATACAAAGTATAAACCGTAATATTACATCGTAAAAATATAATATCCAGCCTTCGTCGCTAGGATGACACGCGCTGAGAGAAATTCGATTTCCAGAATCGGTGTCCGCGCGAAAGAGACTCTACTCTAATCTCTACTGTTTTTACTACGGTCTACGAACAAGAGATACAGCACACGAGCACAGTTGGCCACAATCCGTTCTCTCGCTTCACTCTCGTGTTGTTGTTGATTACGTACCTTGCAGAGCGGAGTGCCGTCTTTGCGGTGGCGGTGGGCTGCCGCCCGCTTCCACACTGCTCCCGCTGTGGCTGTCCAGCTGAGTGCTATGACCGCTGTCACTGCTCGTCACCGAACCTACGCACACGTCCCCAAGACACTTCTATCACTACACACGTTCTAGCCGGGGGATTAGCCGCCCTGATGCGATCGCTAAACACGCTAGCACGTCTAGTCGCGACGTACGTTCATTTTAATCCGCGTGTCTCTTTGCTCTAAATCGAGCCGACGCGAGAACCTAATATAAGTAAGTTGATCACCTCGCTACGCGCTGATTACATCTCTCTTGCGTATTCCTATCTTTCTTTCCTGCCGTATTTGATTCTAACAAAATCAACGAATATATCTTACATGCGCGCGACTTATGTACTTATGTTAAAATTGTAACACGCGATGATCTCCTACACGACAATCAGAAATTGGATCGTAATCGTAGAAATATTTAATCTAGACTATTAAAGCTGCACGTTATCTTTTCCATTTACTATAATATTTTAAAGTTGTCAAGAGAGACATTTACTGATTTTCTATTTCAAATGTTTAAAGAGCAACATTATAGGTATCGATAGTTACACACACTTCGTATGTCCCATGGTACGAGAGCTCCGAACAGAAGCTGTACTTGGTAAGAAATTAGGTTCGTGAGGTATTCGTGATATCTAATCGAAAAGAAAAGCTCGCGCTACAATAATCGGCATACAAGATGCATGTGTATGTGTGTGTACGAATGTATGTGTATATATGGATCAACTAAATAACATGGAACATTTATGAATTGCGTAAACGGCTGTGCAGCGTGCATAATAATGAGATTCCTTGTTGCGAGACCTGACCAGTGTATGTAACGAGCAATGAAGGTGCGTGATGGTGCTTCGCGAGATGCGTATCTACCAAGTTGATATTTATATTTCATCAACACTCTATCAATATACTATGTATAAATGATCTAAAAAGTTTTAAATAAAAAACTGTTGAAGTATCGCAATAGATAAAATAAATTTCCAGGTCTATTTAATCGGAACGATTCGTCTATAAATGAGATCTTTAGAAAGATCTAGAGAATAAGTATCATTGGATAGCATCTCGTTTCAAGCATTTTGTAAGAAATAAATTGTACTCACCGCTTGTCAAAGTTTTTCTCAACGGTTGAAGATTGCTCAAGCTAGTTACGCTACTGCTCTCCGCACTGAGGTCGACAGGCGGTGGTAAACTAGCGGGTGTATCACTGTGGGATCTCTCGTGCATCGGTACTCTGCTGCCGGATCCTACTCTTCTAGGTGCACCTGGACTAGGCTCTAGACCGCTCGAATGTAGAGCCAAACCCGGTACAGGTAGCGGCGGTGGACAGTGCTTAGGTTGATACGGTCGTGTCTTGTGAGGATCTGACAGGGCTAGCATTTTCCTTACTGCTTGTGGCGATGCAGCGCCGAATTTTGTACCTGTAGAATCAATACAAATTATAAGATAAAATTCCAAAGGAGAAAATAAATTACAAAGCGCACTTGGTAAATAGATTTACCGACCTTGTATACTTTTCCTGCCTTCACTAGTGCTACTAGCGCTACTAGTAGTTGATAGAGTAGGTGATGGATGCCTTCTTCCTCGACTACCACTAAGCGGAACCGCGGCGGCGACCGCAACCGCTCCCGCATGCGGCTCACAATCGACAGAAAGTTGATGCAGTCGCTCTTCATCCGTGATTACTTTCATGTTTGCGAGATAGGCCTTCACTCTTCGGACCATCTGCGCTTCCTCAAACATTTTCTTCGGATTTGGTGCGGCTGTAGATTTTTTTCGTCGTTTCACTGTCGCAGTTTGGCCGCCTACAAATCACAATGTTGCAATTGTGTATAAATTACTTAAAAGACCAAATCTGCAATTGAAAAAATAGACAAAAACTTACCCTGATTGCCAGTGGTCATTTGATTCAAAGCAACCATCGCGGAACTCGGTGGTTGCCCGCCTCTTTCCAACATGGTTAGTAAATCGTAGGGAGAAGAGCACATGTTTGTCAACGTTCTCACTTCCTTAGCAATCATTCTGAGTTTTTCAAAATTTACTAAACCTTCTACTCTCGAATCATTACCAAGATGTATGAAAGTCAAATCCTTCTTCACGACTGGGTAGAAAGGTATCTGAAACAAAATTGGTTTAATTTATTATCGATCATTTCATGCTACCATAGCAAAGCTCAAATTGCAAATCGTTATATCCAGTCAAAATCACAATGAAAGATATCTTATTTGGTATATATAAGATGACTCACTATCGGTGGTTGTGTTTGTTCAGACGCTACCAATTGCCGATATTTACTCATGTTGCGGCTAGGATCCATTAATTCCTGCAAATCACTAAATAATCTTTGATATTTTGATGGCAGTTTTTCCCACGAAGCTCTCAATCTTGATACTGCACCATGACCCAAACCGGATACGATCGCGAACATGGAATTGAAATTTTTGCACTCCTTACATTGACCTGTTAAAAAAATGTTGTCGATAAGATGATTATAAAAGATAAGTAAGAAAAAAATATATATTGATAAATGCTTACGAGCTATCTTGATAAATTGTTTTATAATCTTACTGCGCCGTACGAGATTATGCTCGGAACATACTTCTGTTACAACCCAAAACATTTCTCTGTTGACTAGTTCTGCAAATTGACTGAGCATAGGTACACCGTACCTGCTCTTCAATTCAAACAAATCATCCACATATTCTGTGGATTCGATTTGTCTATAATATAAAACGTGCAAAAATAAGTTTATTATTATTATCGAAATGTATATTTAAGTATAAATTGCAGCAAGTAAATTTATACATTTCCTTTTGTACATCTCATATATCTGAATTTACCTAAATATACTAAAATCCTGTAGAGTCAATTGTATCGCCACTTCCACAGCATTCAGTTGCAGGAAATGAACCTGAGATTCTCGAATGAGTTCTGGTGCTTGATCGTCAGCTACTAAAGTTTCGGAAATTCCGTTAGTTTTTAAATAATATCGGGAACTCAATCCGATTCTTTCCGCGAGATTTTGCAATTGATCTGGCAATCTACGTTGCTTGATCATGCCACCTTCGCCAACGCTCACTTCTGCCAGAGAAAAGTTTGAACTGCTTTCCGTTATGCCAAATTCTTGAAGTGCAAGCATTACCACCTATAATACATTAAACGTCAATAAATAAAATGTTTGTATTTATTATTTAATATTGATAGCATAAATTTACATACCTCATGTGCCGTCGTTTCTTTGTGGATAAGAAGATACTTGCAGGTTTGATCTGCTTTATATACCTTGAGCACGTGTTCAGGATAATCGTTTGCTCTTAAATCATCGTAACAATAAAGCGACGTAAGGTCTGGATTACTCTTTGAGTGATACAAATTAGTGGTCGTTTGCGAAAGCCCTGTTCCCGGTGGCGTATGTGGTGGTGCAAGAGGATCGTCCATGTGTACACCGTCGCTGTTAAAATGTAAGACATTTTGTATCAACAAAAGATTCACATATTAATTTAATTATCATTTATTCTGAAATATGCTTCAATATACTTACTTGATTGTGTTCTTTGGCAGTATGTTCATTTTCATAAGTGCTTTTTGTAATCGTCGCTTGGGTCCAAGAGTCATAAATCCCTTGTGCTCTTTTTTGGCATCTTTACATGGCGATACATTATTATCGGGAATTAATAATGGTACTCCACCAATCATGGGATTTAAAGGATTCACAGCAGTCATAGGATCTACATGTGTCGATAATCTAGCACGTGGATCCGATTGAAGCCTGGGTATTTCCGGTTTATTTGTTCTACCTCGGGGTCGCGGAGAGTTATCTGGCATCTGAAGCATTTCTTTGAAAGCTGTAAGAATAAATAATCAATGATAAATGAGTACTTTACATTATTGATTTGGATTTTAAGAAGACGATTAGACTCACCAAGTAAATTAGATTTTACAGTTATACTGAGGTGCGTGGAAGCTCTCAGGATATCAAGCGCTTTCGCGTGATTCACATGCTCGAAACTTTGACCGTTTACTTCTAAGATTTGGTCACCCCTTTTTAAACCAACATCCTCAGCCTTAGATCTCTTGTCAACTTTTGAAATAAATATACCGAAACCTCTCTCAAATCCTCCTAAGATGCTAAAATTTAGGACCTCGTCTCTGTTTGGTCGAGCTAGTGTTACATTTCGCGTTCTCGCTTTCGCCGCACATGCAATATTTAATAATCTGAAATCACAATATACATAATGTATACATAATAATTGTGTCTCTCCAATTCATTTTTTTCCCATAAAATAAGATGGAAAAAAATAAACTTTACCTTTGTTGTCCTAGCATTTTTTCTCTTTCCAATCCGGTTTCGAATGCTTCTAAAAATTCCATCATCGCCGGATCAGTCTCGAAATCAGTAAAATGATTATTCACCCATAAGAGTACGACGCGGGCAACACGATCTCGCACTTGTGCTTGATCGAACCATTCCAACAATTGGCTTGCAACCAATAACGGACCATCGATAAACGTTCGATGAGTCAACAAGAAGTCTTCCACATAAGTAGGATCTGTAATACTGTTTTCTTCGATGAGCTGTAACATTAAACGTTCCGGCGTTCCCCGTATCACCACGTGACCTCTTCGCGCGGCGCCGTCCAAAGCTCCTCGTAACTCTGTTACTAGAATTACCCTTCCATTTTCTTCGTGCCTCCTCGTATTCTCTTCACCTTGATGTTGAATTCGAAAATAATCTGCTTGTGTGACGCAAACAAATTGGCAATCGTCACATCTACAGGAGAAAAACGCATTTTCTTTTATCTTATATCTAAATAAGTCAATATAATGGTACAAAAGAAACGTATTACAAACTTTGTTCTCATGACTCCTCGATGTAATAGCCTCTCCATAGTAGGCAAGATACCAAAGCTGTCTCCAAGACCGAGCTGTTCAATTTCACCATTGCTGTGCTCAATCTCGACAGCACCGTTAATCAACACGCTCCAACTATCGAGCTCTTCGCCATCGTTCAAAACCACCATACCGGCCCGATCAACTACTGCAAATACCATTACAGCGCACAACGCTCTTCTAACCGCCAAAGTCATATTTGTGAAAGCTTTCAGCTGTTGCGTGAATTCCAGAAGCGTCTCTATGTCATCCTCCGTTCTCTCAACAGGATCTTTCTCTAAACATTCTCGTACAGGATCGCGCACTGTTAAACTCTAAAACATTGCAATAATAAAAGTTAAAATGCATACATGTTTGAGCGAAAAGATAAATCATAGGCTTACATCCATACTTACATCCATACTTTCCGCAAGATCTTCCTCCTCATCACTGTCCACAATAGACTCTACGAGACCCGAGAGATCCACCTCGTCGGGATCCGCGTCTAATGAACTTTGTACAGATGTCATTGTGTCAGATCCACTGTATGCCGAACTAGTGTCACTCGAATGACTGCTTCTGTTTGATTTCTGGTACAACTCTGGCCTGCCTGTCAGGCCTTGTGAAAACTATAAAAAAGAATTTTTATTAGTCTATTTAATGATTTTTAAATTATTTATTAAAAGAATTTTGCTTGCATAATTTTTCATAAGATTATATCATAATATTAAATTTACAAACTAGTTTTACATATTCTTAGGTATAAATTTGAAAATATTTTTTATCAAATAATTAGAAATCTTTCTGCCTCATTTCTTATCTCATTTATTCTAAATATTATATATAAATATACATAACATTTAGAATATATATCTTAAAAAATATAATAAAATTTCAATATAAATTACATATTTGACAAAAAAATGACAATGTAAATTGTAATCTCTAATGAATAACTAAAGTATAAAATATTATACAGATTCAATATATTAAAAGTCAGTAGAAAGATATGTTGCAAGATAAAAGTTATTAACGATAAAATAAAAACAATGGGTGAAAATTGAGAGAAACATACAATAAAAAAAATTCATTATCTGTCATTCACTCAAACGTGTCTCCACAAGTGTATTGTACACAAATTATATAATAAATTTGTGAGATACATGTGACGTACATAATACAAACGAGATATAATTAAAAATCTTCTGCATCCGACCTAACCTTCTTCTAGACTATCAATTTCCAATTAATAGCAACGAGCATTTCAAATAATTCGCAGATGGGAGACTGAAGAGGACAATCCGCAACGTTATTCCTTCATTCGATCGAGGTGCCTACATCGCGGGAAACAAAAACATCATCGACGACGCGATGCCGCTCGTCCGCTAGGAATAGCAAATACCAGGAATGGGCGTGATTGGGATAGCTGGTAGTTAGGTTAGGTCACCGCGACATGACATCACGCACGACGCACGCAGGCACGCACGCACGCAGATAGTACGTGCATCGGGCGCGAACACACTCGCATGCGCACACCTACACATCCATCATCCAAACAAAACATCCGTCTAACAATGTCCGCGCTGTCATGTCATCGGGAGAGGCGTGCGCCCCGCGCTCTCCAGGAAGGGGCTGGCGCGTCCCCGGAGGAGTCAAGGCCATTTTGAGTATCTCCTCTCGGAGAAAAAGCACTCACTTGGTACACGCCGTACGCGTCCATCGCGAAGCCGCACGATCCTCGTGATTCTGTTGTTCTTATCTTCCCCTTAGCCGAGGGAATCACGGCGGATTTGGCGAGGCCGCGACATTTTCTTACGTCTTCCGATCGTCTTCTCCTCTCTCGCTCGGCGTGACGCGTCGTATCGCGCGTGGACACGGACCTAGACGCGGCGTGACCCTCTTCGTACAGCTTAACGCGAAACTCGTGACGCGTCCGCTCGCTCGTTCGTTCGTTCGTCTATCTGTCCGTCCGTCCGTCCGTCTGCCGTCGTTGCGGCGGACCATCAACTTAGCGGACCGCCTCTCGTCCCGCTGCCACCCTCGCCGGCCCCCGCTGACATTCCCTTCGAGAACGCAGGGTGGTCACGTGACCCGCCGCGCCGACAGCGGCTGCCCAGGTCCGTGTCAACGGGGGGCGCATCGGGCCGGCCGGCGAGAAAAGGACGCCGGGCCACCTGTAGCTTCCGCACGCGATGCCGCATTTTTCTTATTTTTTCTTTTTTTTTTTCTTTTTTTCCCCTTTATTTTCTTTCTCTTTTTTTCGGGGAAGCAAATTTGGAAGGATTCTTCTCGTTTTTCCGCTATCGTAGCGCGACTATAAACTGCGAAATTAAATTCTTGACAAGCCGATGTAAACTGCTGCGCGCCAAGAACAGTTTATTAAAACTTTAAATTGATATCATGTTACAAAAATTAAATTTGAATTGTACTTGCTTTGGGATATAATTACTAAAATTGTGATATAAAGTTTATCGTAGATCAATTAATGAGAATAGAAATGTGGAGATATGTACGAAGGAATTTATATATTGTATAGAGTCTGAGCTAATTTAATTTTTGAAAATTGTTAAAAAAAGTGTAAAATAATAATTTATTAATGTCGAAAAAATTTGGTTTGACAATTAGTGGAAATTCAATTTAGTTATTCGTATATGAATATAAACAATAGTTGAAAGTTTAATGAAAAGTCAACATTTTATCTAATACAAATATTACCTAGATATTTAATTAAATTCCGTCGCACTAATTACACATATCTCTTACGATCAATATTTGTTCTAATTTCGTGGCTCGCGAATACAGGCAGAATTTGCGCATCTCTCAAAAAGTAATTTCAATATTTGCAGCAAATTAATTAATTACATAAAAATAGAAACTTGCTCATCCCAACTTATTGACATATATAATCATTTATTAAGACTGACTGACTTTCATTTCAATACTCGCAATAAAATACGTAAGTAAAATTGCAGCAAAAAGATTAAAAATATAATTTGCACGATAATGATCTGTAATTTATCAATGCTTATAATCGGACTGTGTTGGGAGAGAAGGGTTCGAGTGCAATTTACGGCATGGAAACAAGGAATTTAAATAACGGCAACCACATCTGATTCGTGGGAGGAGGCTACTTGATGAGTTTGGAAGCGATTATGAGTAATTATGAATTTACATAAAGTTGCATTTAAAGAAGAGAAATAAAAACTACGATGTATAAAAAACTCTTCTTGAATTCTTTAAAATTACAAAAAAAATATATATATATATATATATATATATATATATATATATATATCACATTATCGATGCGAAATTTGCTCATCGTGACCTTAATAAATATTAATCTATTTTTTTAATTATATAATGAAAATACGTAATTACAAATTTTTAAAGTGACGTGTAAAGTTCCAGGTTGAAAATTGAGATCACTGATAGACTATAAATGTAACGTACGAAGAAAATCAAGAAATATATGTCTAATAAATCGCAATTCACGATAATTGCAATCGGATATGGTTGTTCGATGATAATCACGACGGTACAACACAACATAAATAACCGAGATTAAAAATAACGGTAACGCTCGATATGTAATACAACCTACTTCGATTCGCACACCCACGCGAATGTCAGCAGGGACAGCCAGCCGAACGTAACGTCATAAGAATATTGCAAAACACGCTCGAGAAGCTGATCGAGAAAGAACACGCCAGTGCTCCCGCGATTAATATTCATCAGCCTTCGCGATTAGTTAATGCCATGCGGAACAATAAGCAAGCAATGACGTAAATTAACGCCGATAACGACACCTGAATTGATCTTTAAGGGTCTCTCAGAATCACTGTCGGACAATCGTGTGAGATGCGCCTAAGGAGTCGACGGACGGTCGATCGAGACGCGGAGAAGCGAAAGAGAGAGGTGGACAGACGGAAAGTGAGACAGGCAGATGGAGAGATTGGTGCGTAGAAGAGAACATCGTTGCTGCTGCTGCTGCTTCGTTCAAAGCATCCATCCAGCAACGGATAATAAACGCTCAAAGGCCACTGTCCGACCCGGACGGATGATTTATACGACCCGTTATGTCGCTCGTGTATGTCTCACTTTTCCTTTTGTCTCGTGCTTATTTTTCCAAATTGTTTCTCCCATTCAGCTTCTTATCCGCCGGAATAATCTGCCGTACGAGTTCGACGTTAGATTCGCGGAATTTTGATTTCGTAAACAAGTTTATATTCGTCATCTGGTATCGATATTGATTTCGATGAGAAGATAATTGTATCGATTGAAAACATGTGTTATACAGATGAGACGAGATGAACATTTCAAGAGAGGGACAAACTTTTGCAATTATTCCCAAAAAATAATTGCAACTTTTTCCACAAAGATTTCTCTAGATGCCTTATGATAGTAATAACTCAAAACTACTGGATATCTGGATAAAAATGAATATGTCCAGATTTAAAGTATGTCAAGCAAATAAACCGATAATAATTTGTATGGTAAAAGATATCAATTTAGGAACATCTGAAAATAAGATCTGCAGTCAACTATCTCTTTGAAGAAGACGTCTTTGGAGCTTAATTTGTTCAGATGGATAAAAAGAAGAATAATCGCACAAATGATGTGACTGCTAAACTTGCCATAAATCAATAACAAATAGAGAAATATTTACCGTATCATCAAAGACCAGGTTGACCTGACGATGGTCGGTTATAGGATGCGAGTGCGGTGGTCGATGCATCCTTCCTCCTCCATGAACTTCCGGATAGTCGATCTGCAAAAAAGACACATCAGTTTGCAATGGTACACATTTTTAAAAAAGCTATAAATAAATTATGTCTAATTTATGGATCTCTTTGGAAATTTATTCATCTGGTCGGGAAATGATTGTTACGTGTGTGTGTAATAAAAGGCGCGTTTGAATAATCATCGTGGAATGATGTCGATGTCAATATGTAAGCGCAACTTGATATCTATGCGCAGCGTCCCACATAACCGGGACAGATAAGCGCTATGAACGGGATATTCTAGAGCTATCGCCAGTGTTTTTATCTATGGACTTTATCAATTTAGCGTCCAATCTCTTCTAGCAAAAATTTGATTACAAAGCATCGTCTTTCAATCTTTACACAATATTCAAATGTATGCAATTGATAAAACTAGATCATATAAATTACATAATAAAACACGCAATTCGCCCACAATTAATTAAAAAAAAAAGAGTTTCTATCTATCTTTGTTTCTGAGATTTTATTCGCCAAGATATCTTTTTATTTTCAGTTTATGTTCATCGATTCAAAATTAATGCTGCTATTATTGCGTGAGAAAAGTTCTACCGCTAATTAATCAGAAAGAAACTTTAAACAAAAACAATTTTCTATGGAACGCACTATGCAATCGTTCAGAAACTTTCAGTGACAACTTGCGATAAAAAAGAGATTGCATCATTTGAATATTCAATGTAGGCAATTATTTGTTTTAACTTGGATATATGCATACAATTGCAATTTCACAACTAGATAAAGTCTTAATTTATACAGAGATAACGAGAAGTAAGACGGAATAGGCGCCTATGATATTTCGCCTGAAGGATGCTCATTGATAATCTAATCAGGCGCGACGTCACCTGCAGAGGCGAATGCAGCTGTGTTACTTCGTTCCAAATACATTTAGGACATCATTGTACCTGAAAAGTTGCACCTAAATAATGTATACATTTACAAATAATAATAAAATTTAAATGATTTTAAATAATATTGTTTTAATTTGCGTTAATAATGTACGGCCGAAAATAAGAAATAGATATCTAATTAAATGCTCGCATAATAATTCACAATGTCAAATTATCCCAAATTTCAACAAATGATATGTAATATATGATACAAACGAATAGAGATGATATCTATTATAAATTCGAAAGTAGAATTAAGTACAGTATCTGTCACTAACAATACCTTCGATGCAACAAGTATGAGAATTTTGTAAGAATATATATATCCCAACATATATATTATTTATAAGGTAAAAAGTATCAAACAACTTGTTGAAGATAATTTAGTGCGCGTACAAAGACGATCTTAATTAAAAATTGAGCCTACTTAAGGCAATTTATTAAATGTATCAGTTGATGTATATTTTATTTATCGACATGGAAAAATTATTAATTGTTTTAATTAATAATAAACTCCATAAATTTCTTGAAAAGCTCGCTGATACTAACTGCATGTCATAATACTAAGCAAAATCTCCATCTCAGACTTTTAATTATCAGTTACAATAGCTTATAATGTGAGCTTTTCGCTCTTCGTTTTCGCTGGCCTTCGCTCTCTTTTCGGTTGACGAGCAACGGCATTCGTTGCTGAACAGTAACGAAAAAAAAAAAGAAAGAATAAAAAAGAGACAATGAGACGAGTGCACTTCGGGCCGGAACTCGTAGGCCGGACTTCCGGTTAGATATGTTGGTTATATGTTCCATTCATGGAACCGCTCCCTCGTAACTTGATTGTTAGAATGAATGTTGAACCAATTTCGGGATGAAAGTTCAGTTTCTATCAGCGATCGATCGAGCGACACGACACGACGACGTTCCGATTTGGTATTTTGGTCGCATATGTTGCCAAGACACACAAAGACAAGTCCAACGTATTGTTCCTCGTATGAGAGACAACGAAACGTTACTTGCAAATTATTTTACCCAAGTAGTAATTGAAAAGAATCATCAACTAATTTCAAGATTACGTTGATATTAATAAATGTTCGCATCAAATAATACGCAATCACATACACGCACACACAATATTTTGTAATTATCTTTCTTGCTTAATCACACTTGATTTTGAAAACACGCGTAATATTCCCAATCAGCAAAACGCAATCATAATACAATCAATAAACAAATGTTGCAAAATGCGCATATGTTTTCCTGACATAACAATCGAATTGTAATCAATTACCGCATTAGATATGAATGTAAACCAACGGCGAATTATTCGAGCAGAAATATTTTACACGCATGCGTTTAATTGCATAAATTTTACACACGCAGACTTATTCGCATAAATTACTACAAAATTTATTAAAAGTATATATTATTCTAAATCGATAAAATATAAATAAATGTAATTTTAAATGCGTTGTATTAAATGCGTAATAAATAAAAAATAAAAAAGTTGGAAGATACACTGCTAACAATAATACACTAAAAAAAATCAATTCTTCCTGGTAGTTAAACTAACATTATATATAATAATTAATTGCTTTTCTTTTTAATGATTTTTACAAAATATATATAATTAAAATATATTATAGTTTAATAATCATTTTTGGTGATTACTTAAATGAAATAAGGAAACAAAATATTTTAAAATTTAATATCTTAAAATGCTTACGTTATATTGATTGCATACCTCCGACGTTGTCGATTCCCTTCATAAATAATCAACTACAGTCGGACAAAAAAAAATAATACATACTCTGTCAATTATACGCTCTCATTCATGACGTCCGTCATTCTCCTGCATTGTGCGCTCAATCTCTGCGTGGGACTTTCGAGCCGTGCGTGGGCGGCATACGTCCACGTGTACACGTTACACACACGCGTTGTGCATCGAACGAGATAAAACGATCGCGAGATGTAAACGCGGTTTACCTCTTCGTTCGTTACGACCAAGTATTAATGACCTCGTTCCTACATCACGATTGCTCATATCATCGCTTTCGCAAGGTTATCAATTGAAAGAAATAATCGCACCATATCGATATTTAATCTGAGAGAGAGAATTTTATAAATATTAAATAATAATTCCCAAATAAGTTTCTGCAACGAATATCTTAAATGAAATCACCTAATCAATTTTATTTACGCACGTTTACGTTTCTACAAAATGTTGCATAACAATTATAACAATAAAGTAAAATCAAAATAATTTGACAAAATATATAAGAATCGATATAAGTTATATAATATTTTTCTAATTTATTAGTTTTTCAATATTTTTTACGAGATGCTCGAAAGCTTTTTCATCAATCTTGAATATTTGCGCAAATATTTTTTCCTTTAAACTTCGAAACAAACATCAGAGAGAGTGTGTTATAAAAATAAACTATCGCATCAATTACTCAATTTAATAGATTGATAGATGTAATGCATTCTCCGCGATGTAACAGGGAGAATCCATTACACATCTATCTTCTTTCCATTGCTTCTTTACCTCGGATGACACGATCGATAGTGTTCTGGGTGTACCAGGCCAGCTTCTGGACAACGATCGTCCTTTCCGTTTTCTTACGACGATCCGAGATCGTCCAGTCCTGCTGGTATGTTTCAACATGATGAACAATTATCGGGTAATTTAATCGAAATTACAAAACGCCCGAGTGTACACCACACTTCCACTTTCTTCATTGCCACCTCATTATATAAAATTGACCGGTAAACGTCATATTCCACGTCAACTGAACCAGTAAATCATGTAGAGAATATCGGGTTTCACCTCGCGCAATATTGTATTATTTCAATACCTTTGTTATTCACTGACACTTCGTAGAGTTTGCGTTTCTATAAAAACCAAGCACTGTAAACATCAAACGATACCTCGCAAGAACACGGATCGGAATTTACGAGAGTATCGCGAAACATACGATGGTGCACTCGTAACTAGTTTAACGCGTTCGTTTAATCACACGGTGATTTTATCGAGACGAGACGACCTTGCGAACCCCGGGCAATCTCGAGGTCGACATCGACGGAGATGGCTTCCGTGAAATCGTTAATATAACTATGTATCTCGCTTAGAACGCGGTCGCGATTCGCACGCTCTTACGCACATCGTGTCTCGCGGAGAACTGAATCGTTCACGATTCTTCAAGAGGGCCAAAGACCGCGGATCACGGTCTTTGCGGTCACGTGACTACACATTCAGGAACGTAGAGAGACTTATTACATGCCGCGACGTTTGTCTCATCGATGCCAGAAATTGAGAAAACTAGCGATTGACAAATTTAACGATTCGAAATTTCACTTCAAATAACTTGCGATAAAACAACTCAATTTAAATTAAAACGGATATCGATACGAAAAATTAAAAAGTACGATATGAATATAAAATAAATATAAGTGCACTTAATATAAATATAATTTAATGTACAAAATAAAAGATAATAAATAATTTTTTATAAACATTTTTTTGGAAAGAAATCACCAATTAAATTAGTGAATAACTTTTATCTCCAATTAAATTAGTGAATAACTTTTATCTCCAATTAAATTAGTGAATAACATTTATTATTTTTTATTTTTTAGACATTATATTTAATTAAAACAAAAATTCTCTTTGCAATATGTTACTCTTTCGTGATAAATTAAAAGAAAAATATTTCGATACTAATTGATAAAGAAACACACGTCGAACACGTGTTAAATAATGTAAAAAATACTATTTCTCTGAGTAGTTTAGAAAAACAACTCTGTTATTCTAGGACCTAAAACGAGCAAATGTATTGTATGTAAAACAATGGGGGGGAGCAAAAGATATCATGATTTTAGGCTTTTCAAGCGAGCTTTCCAAACTTACACTAACTTGAGATAATAATCGATAAAATATTCGTTAAATGTACTTGTATTAAATAATTTACACATGAAATTTTTTCAATTTTTTACGCAAATGTAAATCTAAACTTTTTCAATGTTGCGTAAGCGATTATGGAAATTTCAATGAATACGCGTACACCACCGAAAAAAATCTCTCACTTGGGAACATTATAAAAGTTACATTT